ATAGCACAGTCACACACCGCCGTCGGTCTGGGAGTCAGCTGGCTCGAACATATCGTTATCTCTCATCCACTCTTCTTCTCGCGCCAACTCTTCCTCTCTGGTGATTAGTGGCACGCCCATCTGGTGTAATGCGGGTTGATATATTGTGAGCATGCTGTATTCGTACTTTCTATTCATAGGTGCAAACGTTCCAGTGACCAGGAGCTTTTTGTGTAGGGACATATACCAACTACAACACCGACTCAAATGAGTATAACCTTTCTACGCATCGGCCATTCACGTCAATTCTTCCCCACACAGTAACCAAGGCACTAGGCCACTCAGGCACATTCCCGACATGTGAACCAACATTATCAATACAGTTGTTTACCTCCTTTCGCAAGCGGCTCTCCTCGGCTCGGAACTTGTCCGCAACGAGCACACCGTCACTGTCGTAGCCTCCGTCACCATCTAGTTGACCTTCGCTGTTGTACAGAAAGCCCTTGTATTGCATCTTACCCTCAAGCACCTCTTCCTGGTTAGAAAACTGACCTCGACTACGGTTGCGGTCGAAAGAACACAATTTTGTGAGTGTTCAGGCAAGCGAGTCTTAAACAAGCAACGCGTTTGAGAGAATTTGTGATCGTGCTGGTACTTTTGATCATCACTTTTCATCATTTTATACACTTCGCACCAATCACAACCATATCTCAACGCCAGTTGCGGACAGAGAGTGCGGATTTACATTTATTTGTTGATGGGTTGTTGTAGTGTGTATGGGAACGCATGTTTTCGTACGGGCAAGTGTAGCCAGGGACGTTTAAGGCGGCGTGCGCGTTAGCAAAACGTTTGTTTAAACTAACGGCCTCCCCTGGAGTTCCGGTTCAACTTCAAAGCGGTCGCAACTAAATAGAAACACACGACTTGCATATGTACAAATACCTCGGCGCTGTACGAATAGTCCAGATGGGTATACTTCTATAGGTATGTGACTTGCCAGGTGTCCTCACATTGCCAAAACCACCGTACTATGCACAATCACAGCAACTAGCTGCATCACCAGCGACACATTCAAAACTAAGCCTCGATCCGATACGGAAGGACACATCCAGTATGTTGTTGCTAAAACTCAAAGGCACTTTCAGTATCCGGATAAGCTCTCGCACGCACCCGCAACTTACATCGCATGAACCAGGTGTATGCGCGAACATGTACACTGCAATCGGAAGTTCAGAACGAAGACTGTTGGACACGTGCACCAGAAAGAAAACTGGGATATTGTTTTGTTTTAAAAGCTACCATGTGTGAAGAATACCTGCCAGTACGTGGCTTCTCTTCCTCAGCCACCTCGGCGTTGCCAGACTCTATGCTTGCTTCATCTGTACTGGGTGCCTTGTCCTTTATGAATTTGTTGGTATTGAGCTCGTTTTGCTGCGTGTGGGCTCGTCCAACACCCTATAATGCAGCGAGAATGTGTTTGTATATATGTAAATTGGTTTATATATATCTGAAATTCAGTTATATATATTCAAATTTGTTCATATATGTTCAAATCCCTTCATATGTATTTGAAAATACATCCGAGTCGAGGATTTATGCGCGTGGTGTATGAGAATGATATGACAATAAACGAATTTCAACATTCGGACAAAATTAGGTACTTGGGTAGTATGTGAGTACTCTATATAATCGATATTCTCATCGTACTACATATTGCTTGAGAGCCTTTCACTGCTATGCAGTACACCTTTGCAAAAAAAAACCCCCATTCAACACCGATAGATGTTATTGCAGTGCTAAACAGTTCCATTGAAACCAACGGTTCAGTTGCTGAGAGTCCTCGCGGGTAGACACTTCAATGGTAGTCATTCAACAATCTCACAGAGCTCGTTACTTACACCAACCACACATACCAACGAAACTTCAGACAGTAAGATAAAGCTACAGACGCCACTCCACAATTCTGGCAACTCATCTGCCGCTAAGCGTATCAATAACAAACACACAGAAATCTGTGTCAAAAGACCCCCCAAACCCCTACCGGTGGGCCGTCTCTTATCAGATCGCCACGTTCATCAAACTCTCCATCACTGGCCAAATTGCCATCTTCGTCGTACCGGTTTCCGGTAAACGCAATGTTACCAGCGGCGTCTACGTGCCACCCAGGCGCGTCCTTCATGGGCGTGAAAATCGCAAGGCTGGGTTTTGTGGGTGCTGTGGTCTCTGCGGGTTTCTCGGCACCTTCTGCGCTTTCCGGATCAGTGGTAGTGGCTGCTGCTGCGGCAGAATTGCCCGTCTGGTGCAGGTCTTTGGCCGTTGTAGTGGGTATGCCGATACCTGATCCCATCCTTTGTTTGGCGCTTGGTTTGAGCGCGGGAGTGGTCGGCCTGGATGTAAATAAAATATCCAAGAGTGCAAGCGTAAGATTCATTATATATATACATGTATATATATATATATATATTAGTCAGAATCCGACGCGAAGCACACACTACAGCGTCATACTAATCTCGACATGCGCTGAATATATATATATATATTAATTATGTATCTAAATATACATATGTGTGTATGTGTGTGTATGCACGTACACAAAAATGTAGCGAGCGCTGGGGAACTCTCCAATTCCATTGCATAGATGATTCGATGGAAGCGCGTGTAACGAAACTTTATTTCCCATGCACTTGAATAGACTATGCGCTCATAGCGTACCACTCACACCAGCCATATCCCTGACCTTTTGATTTCAGATATTTAAGTCCCTGTTAGTCAGAATCCGACGCGAAGCACACAGTACAGCGTCAAACTAATCTCGACATGCGCTATAATCAAGATGAAGTAAAGCACGCACAATCCAGATAGAACGTATACATACACACACACACCTTGGCTTCATGGACTTCAACAACTCCTCTCTCGCGGCCGCATGCCTCGCTCTGTTGTGCTTGCTTCGAGCACGTACAGCCGCATGTGCATGGAAGTTCGCTCTTGACACACGGGTATGCACGTTCACAGGTGCTTGGCTATGCCTGAGTGTATTCTTACATGCCTCTGCGTGCAATTGAGCCACGGCAGCGTGCGGTCGAGCCACTTGCGAGGCTGTTCGGATTGTGGTCTAGAGGAGAGGTGATGGATATCAAATTGTGGTTCAGGGTAGATATTGTTGGAGTACCCTCAATGAAGAGATTATCATTTGTAAATGAGGTCGTGGAGATGAGTCTAGGTATGCTCTCCCTATGAACTTTCTTACCAGACAATACGACATCCACGCGCAATGTCGATCAGACAAATCAATACTGTGACCCTTTTCCCGATTTAATAGATGTATAAGTCTTGTTTAGAGTTTTGAAGATCTGATTTTGAGGCTGTAGGG